ATTTTGTTGGATATATATAAATGGTACACCAACGAATCTATGTGTTTGTGAAATGTCCGATATAAAGTTTCCGCCCAGTTTTGATCGAAGATTTTTGACATATTTACAAAACTAATTTGCTACAGTGTAGTGGGATTGAAACCACAATCCAAAATTGAAATTTAAGCAATTTGGATTACAATTTTATGTTGGAATCCTTTAAAAGAAATTTCAATTCTAAAACAAAATAAACTTTCGAATTTCAATTGAAATACTCAAATTCTGAACTGAATGTAAAAATTGTATAAAATGTCATTGGTAACAGTGCTTTCGTTTTTACACTTTTTTCAACTTTTTCGTCTTCTGCTCTCATAAATAAAACATAGTTTTCAAAAGTTAGCTCTAAGGTCTAAGCATTCGTCACGAACAATAGCACAAGTACTTAGCAAATTATTTACCAGAGAAATTAAAAACGAATTTAAATAAAATTCACGACACTAACACTATTTAGTTGGACAACGAATATTTAATTTAACAAATGACCGTGAACTGTATGGTGCTCTTGTCCTGTATCCAGCACAAGGGAAACGAAAAGGAATGAAGGAGGCTACGGTAAGTACTACAAAATGTTAGAACAAAAAGTAAAAAGAGATTTAAAAAACCGGACAAATAAAAAAGCATGCTTTGATAGTAAGTCTATGGACAATAAAACCCCAAAAAATAAAAGAAAATAAAATTAAAAACGCTCTAAAAGTTCGTATGGTGGTTATATTAAATTTGTTTTTGTATCTATTCGAAATAGAAACTTGTGCACAAATAAACTTCAACAATTTTCCATATCAATGCATGTTGGTATAGCGACAATTTGAAGGTAGTTGTTAACATTTTGTTTTATTTCCCATGCAAATATGTTAAGGGTTTGTTCGACTTTTCATACATATTATGTTGTCACACATACATACGAATTTTATATTTGAATGCAGCCATCTTATATCTAGAATCCCATACTATTTCTTTTCGGGAACATACACCTATATATATATATATAATCGTATGCCTATGGTAAGAACCTCAACATTACTCTTGGATTGTCTATTATGAAACCAACACACAGTCTAGAAGCACATGCTTTCCAAAGGACAAGGCAATGACTATTACTGGTCATAAAATGTGAAAGGAATAAAATGGAGAAACGGAAAAACTGTTGACATAAAAAGTTTGTACGTTAACTACTTTTGCATTTAATTCTGACATTCAAAGATTTCACACATTTTTTGTTGTACCTTTTGTACAACACTGGGCGAAAATATATATGGGAGCTATATCTAAATCTGAGCTGAACTCAACAAAATTTAACATATATCAAACTGGACATAATTCAGTAGGCACATTTTTGTCACAATCGGACAAATATTGGGAGTTTGGTGCACCATTTTCATAAAATCGGACGAAAATATATATGAGAGGTATATCTAAGTCTGAACCGATTATCGCTAATTTCAATAAAGTTCGTCCTTGGGCCAAATTGCATCCAAATCGGATAATAAATGAGACCTGTACTTTGTTCACAAGAATCCATGGACAGACGGACATGCATAAATCAACTCAGAAAGTGATTCTATGCATATTCTCAAAAGGTACCATGGTCTATCTCGTTTCCTTTTGCCTGTTACACACATATGCTCAAAGACATAGAACCCTGTACCACAGTGTGGTAAAGGGTATAAAAACATAAAGTATTATATTTATATTCCGTTTGCGATTAAATTTGTTTCAGTTTATTTCAAGACCCTAATTAAAACCAGTGAGCGGAGCAGTATAGTAGGACAGGGCCGACCATATGATACCCTACACAACTTCGACGAAAATCTAACATTCTTTGGTTCTATATTCTGAGCAGGGACACTATTTCGCGATATTTGCACCCTCTTGATCGACTAGAGGTCAACAAATATTACTTATATTCAGTACAGCCATTCTAATTACTTGCCCAGATTCCCTTCACCGTGGGTTGGTTGTGATGTTCGGCTTTTAATTGCGGACTATAGATCGACTCGAAAAACACAAAAAATTAAGTTTTCGGTCCACTTCATCACAAAATAATTATCTCATCATCGCCGAAAATTATAGGCGTTGTCCTTGACCATAACTGGAACCTCATGGAACCTATCAAAGCAATCAGCTCTATATTTTCGCACTCCAGTGTGGTAAGAGTTTACTAAATAATATCTGAATACGTAAGCACCTGAGAATATGTACGTGTAACTCCCCCATCCGAGTACATACAACAATATAATTGGTATCAATTTAAAGGCCAACCTCTCCTCTTGGATATATTATCAACTTCTCGGGTCTATGTCCTTCAGGAGTAAATATATACGCTATTTAATACAAATTTTGTAATTTTTCACACAAAAGTCAGGGTCCATTTGACCCGCTATATATTGACCGATCTTTATCAAAACGGGCATGCTTATTCTTTGGCCCGATCCCCTTCTCCATGTAAAATTTCGCGATGTTCGGGCTATAATTGCTGCCTCTGGAGTGACCAGAAAAAGCGACAAAAATTTAGTATTTGGTCCATTTCATCCCCTAAATATAAAGCGATCTCCACCAAAAACAGTAGGGGTCTTCATTGGCCATAACCCAACCTACATACAAAATTTCGTGATGATTGGTCCAATACTGTGGCCTGTATCGTGTTTACAAATTATAATGAACGGACGGACGGACACACATGTCTAGATCGACTCATCTAGTCGAGATATGACTATCGGTATACATAAAGGTGGGTCTAGGACCAATATTTCGCGGCGTTACAAACTCTTGGGGCTGCACAAAGCTATAATACCCTGAGAACATAGTAGTGTAGGGTATAATTATGTTTGCGTATTGTTAGAAACAATTAAGCATAATATGTATCGCAGTGGGTCTATTTACTATCACAGCTTAACAAATCTCAAATCGATCAAATATTAAAACGATCCATGATATATTAAAACGATATCGATACAATATTAAACAATACCAAGGAATTCGAAGAAGTCCATTGTTACCAAACCGCTATGTTCCCAACATATTTCTGTTCATGTGGTATAAGGAAAAGAGCAACCACAATCCGATAAGTAGATCAGTTTAGAACACGTATTGTTGAAGGTGTGAGTCATTTATAAACAAAAGACAAATATTTTAGCATTTATTTTTATTTATGCAGATATTTACATAGATATTTTACAGCTCTTCAGACTATATGAAATGCGTTTTTCTGACAACACATAAATACCTACATACAGGTTTAACATTTGAAAGAATTTGCATAATTGAATGCAATTGAATGCAAAAGACAAGAAGTCATCAGCTTGTACAAATACAACAACAAAAATAAACATAGCTCACACAGGGATTCTTTAAAGTGAGCATTGTAGAGAAACACACCAACTTGCACTACAAATACAACAACAACAATCACCATAGTTCACGCAAGAATTCTTTAATGTGAGCAATGTAGAGAACACACAAACAAATTTCAAAAGTTAAAAATTATAAACATCCCGTTTGTTCGATAACTAGCAAACGACGCTTAGTACATATTTACTATAGAATGTTAATAAGTAGAAAGATACATTTTGATAATTGGGTAGTGCAATCATTTTTAGTACAGTGATGTTGGGGGTACCGTAATAATTATAAGTACAAGCATGTGTTATACAATGAGAACCCAAAATACAAAAAAAAAAAAAAAAAAAAAAACGGTAAGGAAAGATCAAAAGTCGGACGGGACCGACTATATTTAACCTTCATCACTTTGGGTATACTCCAACGATTTTATTATAAGGTAGAGTCAGATATATACCGATATAAAGCACGTACAACATACATCTTTTTTAAAAATATTTGTCGTATATATTTAGGGAAACTCAGATCGGAAAATTGAAAATTTCATGTCAATTGGGCCGACTCAGAGATGTTGTTGAAATCGAACAACTAAACTTAAGACATGTCATTCCATACTTAATTCAGTACGCTACGCCCAATTTCCTATAGATAACAAATGTAGGGGCTTTATCTTAATCGAATATATATTGGGAATTAAGTGCCCTATTTACATAAAATCGGACGAAGCTATATATGGAGCTAATCTAAATCTGAACCGATTTTCAGTAAAATTAGTTCTAATCATTCTAGAGTCAATTCTTAAGCTATGCCAAATTTCGTGTAATTCGAAAGATATAGAGGGACTTAGATGCACCATTTACATGAAATAGGACGAAAATACATATGGGAGCTATATCTACAGGGTGAGATGAAAAAACTGCAACCAACTTCAGACTGCTGTCATTTCTAAGCCAATCGTCCGACAGCTGTTAAATTTATTCCAGTTACAGTTCATTATATTATTTACAAGCGTACAAAAGCATTTTGGTGAGAATTTTCCAGAAAATATTATTCGTAATGGAATTCAAGTGTGATATAGTGTGATTTCTTTTTATTTGGCGAGAAAACTACAAGTGGTTATCGTAAGAGCACTCCAGCATTTAAATGTGAATAAATCTTTTGTGTCTCATACCATCGCTCGTTACAGTGATACTGGTAGCGTAGCCCGACGTCAAGGAAATGGACGAAAGAAAACAGCAACATCAGCAGAAATGGTTCGAAAGGTAAAGAAGCGACTAGATCGAAACCCGAAATATTCCTTTCGGCAAATATTGAAACATGAGCTCGGGGTAAAGCCATTGAAATTCCAAAAAGTGTAAGATCTTACACCGCCGCAGAAAGAAAATAGACTCAAAAGAGGTAAAGAGTTGCTTCGCTTGGCCGAAAGTGGTGAACTGCCGACCTTGATTTTCTCCGATGAGACAACATTCGTTGCCCAGCAGTTTCTAAGCAAAAAAAAAAAAAAAATGGTACGCCACCAGAACTCAAGCGTCGGCCATGGAAATGGTGTGGGCCGCCAGCCGACAGCCGATGGTCGCTCTCCGCTCGTATTAATCGGCATCTGGCTATTCTGATGCCCATGCCGAATATTATAGGGAAAATATTCTGGAGGGTGTATTAAAGCCTTGGGAACGCAAACATTTTGGCCGCAGACCTTGGACATTCCAACAGGACTCAGCACCATCGCACTCAGCACGCGCCACCCAAGAACTAACAAAATAAAGTTCTTCGCTTCATTTCCAACGCACATTGGCCACCAAAATCTCCAAATACCAATCCGTTGGACTATTGTGTCTGGAGTATTTTGGAAAGCAAGGTTGGCTCTAAAAACCAGTAAGGATAGTAGTAAAGTCGGACGGGGCCGACTATATGATACCCTTCACCACTTCACTAAAACTGAACCGATTTCAACGAGACTTGCCAGAGATTAATTTATATTAACTACAGTTCATTGTACAAAATTGTGTGACAATCGGACAAACCTTGGGTCTTTAGTGCACAACTTAGAAAACATCATTCTAGACGTAATTCAGCACGCCATGTCCAATATTGTACAAATCGAAAGATATATAGGGACATTGGTGCACCATTTATGATAAAATCGATGCAGGTTGGGATAAAAAATATATATGGAAGCTATATCTAAATCTGAACCGATTTTTCCGAAACTTAGCACACATCATTCTAGACCCAATTCAGTACACCATGCCAAATTTCGTGAAAATCGAAGGATATCAGGGACATTGGTACACCATTTATCATAAAATCGGACAAAAATATATATGGGAGCTATATCTAATCTGAACCGATTTTCAGGAAACTTAACACACATCATTCTTGACATAATTCATTACTCTGTGCCAAATTTTGTGCAAATCGAAAGATATATAGGGACCTTGGTGCACCATTTACCTTAAATCGGACGATAATAAATATGGAAGCTATATCTAAATCTGAACCGATTTTCAGGAAACTTAACACACATCATTCTAGACCTGATTCATTACGCTGTGCCAAATTTCGTGCAAATCAAAAGATATGTATAGACTTTTATGCACCATTTACCATAAAATCGATGCAGGTTGGGACGATATTACATATGGGAGCTATATCTAAATCTGAACCGATATTCAGGAAACTTAACACACATCATTCTAGATCTAATTCATTATGCTGTGCCAAATTTTGTGCAAATCGAAAGATATATAGGGACTTTGGTACACCATTTACCTTAAATCGGACGAAAATATATATGGGAGCTATATCTAAATCTGAACCGATTTTCACGACACTTAACACACATCATTCTAGACCTTATTCATTATTCTGTGCCAAATTTCGTTCAAATCGAAAGATATATAGGGACTTTGGTACACCATATACATTAAATCGGACGAAAATATATATGGCAGCTATATCTAAATCTGAACCGATTTTTCCCAATTTCAATAGGGTTCGTCCCTGGACCAAATAAGTGACCTGGGCCAAATTTCAGTCAATTCGGATCATAAATGCGACCTGTACTTTGTTTACAATTTAACATGGACAGACAGTCATGCATGCATAAATCGACTAAGAAGTGATTCTATGCATATTCTCAAAAGAAACCATGTGTCTATCTCGTTTTCTTTTGCCTGTTACAAACATATGCTCAAAGACATAATACCATGTGCCACAGTGTGGTGAAGGGTATAAATACCAATGTGTCGATCACCTCAAGCAAGCGCTTCGCCGCGAATGGGCGAAAATACCGCAGAGCAACATTCGGGCAGCGTGTGACGGATTCATCGAATTAAGTTTTTGCTTTCATTCAATAAAATTTAAAAAATGTAAACATTAGGGTGTTTGACTTTGTTGCAGTTGTTTTTTATCTCAGCCTGTATATAAATAAGGCCAATTATGTTTGAAAACCGTAACCAAAAGCTATAGAATTGAGGGTATCCATATTTTATTCCAAACATCGTAGGAGTTGTGGTAATGCATGTGTAAACTTTCAAAGCTCTACCTTCAATATTATGAGCTCTATGGTGAATTCAACAACCAGACAGATGGACATGACTAATTAAAGGCTCATTAATCTGAACCGACTACTTCAAAACCTGTTACGTACAACACTCGGCTGGTGTAGGGTATAAAAACAATGCAAAATTTAGTAATGATTACAAAATAAAAGTAAATTAGTTCATAACTAGTTACCCGAACACATGAGGATTTCCACATATATTTATACACACATACACGTATGTAAGGATGTGTGAATGTACATCTATGTTATTCTATCATTCGTATGGAATATGTGTACTTGTTTATGGTATACATGTCGTGTCGTATTTGCGTGTGTCTGTCCTGTCTCTACCTAGATAGGACTCTACCAACCAACCAACTAAATGTCTAAATGTCTCGACATATTCAAATGTTTGGAAGATTCTCACATCTTCGTTCTTCCTTGCCTCGATTTGTATTTCATTTTAATGTCATTTCATTTGTAATGTACGAACATGCATGCTATTTTTAGTTTTTGTTATACTGCAGAGTGTTGTTATGGTTATTAAATTTTCATATGCAAATTGTCGAATGTTGTATTTTCCATTGTGCTAAGGCTCGTTGAGTTTTGTTTGTAATTGGCATTTCTGTGACTTTGGCTATTTAGGCAATATTTTTTGTCAGAGCACTGGTTAATGTGAAAAAATGTTTTTTTTAATGTCTTCATTTAACAAAAGTCATAATATTCAAATAGAATACAAATAAATAAAAATAATAATTAGCTGACTGTTAAGTTATTGTTCGAGATTATCCCCACGAAAATCATTAAGAAAACACAAACGGTATATGTACAATTCTTATGATGAAAAATAAATGCTAATATTTAAAATATGGAATTGAGTTGGTCTTCAGTAATCTATTGGCCCCTGCATTTTCCTCCAACCTGTCAGTAGATTTTTTTTTAATTTGTGTAGGTATAATCAACGTTTTGTTTTTTTTTTTATATTTTTCAATGTGATATCTCCTAGCAATGTGCATATTATATTAATTAAAAATAAATAACCATTAAATATATATTTCTTTAAAATTTACATTTTCATTGCAACTTACCATAAAGGATCTGTCAAAACATTTTTGCCGCTGAAACTGTAGATACGTGGCGCTTGTGAAAAGAAGCCACCTTGACCATTGAATATACCCTTCCACGAGTTAAATAGGACATCACCTCTTGTATTCACAACCGGCAGATCACGGTCTGCGACACGTACAATTGAATCCAGATTTTGTACCCTAAAATGGAAACAAAACATACATACAAAATGTGAGTAAAATAAAACGTAAAGAATATTTTTTAATTAGCATAAAAGTTCAGAAGAATGGTGGCCACATATTTCGAAGGCATTATAATTGTTATTCTAAAATTAAAAATAAAAGATATCTATTGTGCGAAAAAATAAATTTCCACACAAATGATTTTTTTACAAATTGAAAAATAATAAGATATTTTTAACCAAAAACAAAACGAAGTGTGAATAGAAATAATATGGTGTGGGTTTGTATGTTAAATTGCGCATTATATCACTGCATAACTACAATTGCAAAAAAAAATATAGATAGAAGAAATATGGGTAATATAATTTTATTAGGTATTCTTTGTCATTGAACATTAACATTCTGATATAATCCGGAGCCAGAGCAACATATTTCAAATATTCATGAAATTTACTAATATCGATTAATATTGATATTGTGCACTAAATAAAGTTTGTCCGATGCCTGTCTGTCCACTTTATTGGTCGCAATTTCTATACATATTCGCTGAAATTTGGCTCAGCCCATTTGTTATACCCTTCACCACACTGTGGTGCATGGTATTATGTCTTGGTGCATATGTTTGTAACAGGCAAAAATAATCGAGATAGACCCATGGTTCCTTTTGAGAATATACATAGAATTACTTTCTAAGTCGATTTATGCATGTCCGTCCGTCCGTCCGTCTGTCCGTCTGTCTGTCCATGTTAAATTGTAAACAAAGTACAGGTCGCATTTATGATCCGAATTGGATTAAATTTGGCATAGGTCACTTATTCGGCCCAAGGACGAACCCTATTGAAATTGGGGAAAATCGGTTCAGATTTAGATATAGCTCCCATATATATATTTAACCGATTTAATGTAAACGGTACCTATATATCTTTCGATTTGCACGAAATTTGGTACAGCCTAATCATTTAGGTCTAGAATGATGTCTGCCAAGTTTCGTAAAAATCGGTCTAGATTTAGATATAGCCCCACAATATAGTTTCGTCCGATTTCGTGTAAATGGTTCCCCAAAGTCCATATATATCTTTTGATTTGCACGAAATTTGGCATAACGTACTGAATTAAGCCTAGAGTGATGTCTGCCAAGTTTCCTCCATATATAGTCCCTATATATCTTATATATCTTTCGATTTGCACGAAATTTGGCATAACGTACTGAATTGAGCCTAGAATGATGTCCTAACTTTCGAGTCCAGATTTAGATATAGCTCCCATATATAGTTATATATCCTTCGATTTGCACGAAATTTGGCATAACATATTTAATTGGGCCTTGAATGATGTCTGTCAAATTTCATGAAAATCGGCCCTGATTTAGATATATCTCCCATATATAGTTTCGTCCGATTTCATGTAAATGGTGCCCCAAAGTCCCTATATATCTTTCGATTTGCACGAAATTTGGTACAACCTAATCATTTAGGTCTAGAATGATGTCTGCCAAGTTTCGTGAAAATCGGTCCAGATTTAGATAGATGTAGCCCCTTTTATTATAGATTGATTTTAAGTAATTGACGCACCATATATATTTTCGCCCGATTTCAAGTAAATTGGGCATCAAACTCCTCATGTTAGTCAGATTTATATCAAAGTTTGCACATCGTAGATCTAGGTAGATTCACATTTAGATAAATATCACATATTTTATTTCATCTAATTTCATGCTAATAGTCCTGTTTAATATACCCATAGTGGTGAAGGGTATAATATAGTCGGCCCCGTCCGACTTTACAACTTTCCTTACTGGTTTTTTTTTTGCCCAAGTGGAGTTTAGATATAGCTTCCATAGCTAGGCTTGACCGATTCACCCAAGTAGTTCACCCAATTGAGACAGAATTTCTTACAATGTAGAATGAAATGTGTAAAGTTTTGTTAAAATCGGTTGAGGTTTGGTTATAGCTCCCATATATATATTTTCGGCCGTTTCTATGTAACAACCAGTAAGGAAAGTGGTAAAGTCGGACGGGGCCGACTATATGATACCCTTCACCACTTTGGGTAAATTCAACAGATGAATGTTAACAGACGTCGCATTTTTGATTTTCACGAAACTTAACACACATCATTCTAGACTTTATTCCGTACGCTGTACCAAATTTCGTGGAAATCTAAAGGTATACAGAGACTTTGGTATACCATTTTCCTTAAATCGAACGAAAATATATATGGGAGTTATATCTAAATCTGAACCGATTTTCACGAAACTTAGCACACATCATTCTAGGCTTAATTCAGTACTCTGTGCCAAATTTCGTGCAAATCGAAAGATATTTAGGGACATTGGTGCACCATTTACCTTAAATCGGACGAAAATTTATATGGGAGCTATATATAAATCTGAACCGATTTTTATGAAACTTAGCACACACCATTCTAGGCTTAATTAAGTACGCTGTGCCAAATTTCGTGCAAATCAAAAGATATATAGGGACTTTGGTGCACCATTTACTTTAATCGGACGAAAATTTATATGGGAGCTATATATAAATCTGAACCGATTTTCTCTAAGCCAAATTCCAGCCAATCAAATTGGCTAATAGATAAAAATGTCCTAAAATCGGGAGATATGGTTATATGGGGGCTATATCAAAACTTGGACCCAGGGACCCCATGTTGGATTTCTATATTTGCTTTGTCATTAGAAACATGTGTGCAAAATTTTGGCCGCCTATGTCAAGTGGTTCGGCAGTTAATGAGTTTATACCCAATTTTTGGGTAAATACTCAAAATAGGGGTACCTTTGTATGGGGGCTACCAGTAAACGTGGACCTACATACATAAAATGTTGCATGGACATTGGGTACCCAAAAAGAACACTCTGTGCCAAATTACAGCCAATTTGGCCTTAAAATGTGTCTAATAGGCAAAAAATACCTTAAATCGGGAGATACGGTTATATGGGGGCTATATCAAAACTTGGACCCAGGGTCCCCATGTTGGATTTCTATATTTGCTTTGACATTAGAAACATGTGTGCAAAGTTTTGGCCGCCTATGTCAAGTGGTTCGGCAGTTAATGAGTTTATACCCAATTTTTGGGTAAATACTCAAAATAGGGGTACCTTTGTATGGGGGCTACCAGTAAACGTGGACCTACATACATAAAATGTTGCATGGACATTGGGTACCCAAAAAGAACACTCTGTGCCAAATTACAGCCAATTGGCCTTAAAATGTGTCTAATAGGCAAAAAATACCTTAAATCGGGAGATACGGTTATATGGGGGCTATATCAAAACTTGGACCCAGGGTCCCCATGTTGGATTTCTATATTTGCTTTGTCATTAGAAACATGTGTGCAAAATTTTGGCCGCCTATGTCAAGTGGTTCGGCAGTTAATGAGTTTATACCCAATTTTTGGGTAAAAACTCGGGTATTTACCCAAGTATTTACCCACGTCTTTAAAGTATCGTAAAACTATCCATTCTAAATCGATTTGATAACAGAAACCCGGAAATAGGGTGCAAGATGTTGTATTACCGATTCAATATAGTAAATACCCAAATAAATACCCACAAATGGGTATTTACCCAATTTACCGGGTATTTACCCAATTTACCGGGTATTTACCCTTTGGGTATTTACCCACTGCCCATCTCTATCAATGAATACTTAATTACCAACACCAGTTGCTGATATGCATCCCCATTAATCGACCCCCACCATGCTTTACTGCCTCTGGATTTTGCTCACACTAAATCGCGTCCATCCGATCCAATTGCATTAAAATTCAAATCGTCTGAAAAAATAACTTTTTCCCAGAACTCATTTGGGATGCCTACATAATATTTTGCGAACTCCATACCATATTTTAAGTGTTGTAGCCGCATTTGCACAGAAAATCATCCCTCTAGATTCATGTTTTGACATAGCAATGTCCCCGTAAAAATATCCAGCACAATTTCCGACATTTTAAGGGTTGTAATCGCATTTTCCAATTTCATACAAACAAAGCCAATTTGAATGCAACCCATGCCCAAACTCCCATTTATATAGGGGCTATCCTAAAATGTTGACCAATATCGGTAGGGAAATTTGCTACACAATGGGAATTTAAAATATTAAATTACCCTCATAAATTAGACCTAATTATTAACTAAAAATAAATTTCATTAACACTAGACCGTTTTTTAATTTCAAGTACAAAAACAACTGTGCATATAATGACGCTTTTTTTACTTTTGGTGACTTTTTGTACAACATAGAATTACGTTTATTATAAAAAAGTCACCATATTTTAAAAAACTGTGTCATTATATACACAGTTGTTTTTGTATTTAAAATTGAAAAACGTTCAAAATGACCGCCTTCCGCAATCTAGTGTTAAATACATTTTTAGCACTTTTTTCTGACACTTTTCTAAAACCTAAAATACGATTTCAACATATTTTTAATCAAATCTAGCATTCTGATAGTTGAGTAGACTCTCAACAATATCAATCATTCAAAATCCACACTTCAGCAAATCAGATGCTGGCATACCACGTGTTACCACGAATTTACAAACGACAGGTCAGTTGAAGTCAAGTTACATAAATTAGCAAACTAAAAAACTGTTTCTGTAACGTGGGGGTCCAGGCAATTAAAATACACTTCTGAAATCATAAATAAAAATTTCAAGTTCTTTCACAGTTAGACCGGTTGCCGCAAATGTCGATAAAATCGGAGAAATTATCAAAGTTGACCGGCATGTTAGCAGTCGTAATATCACTAAAAAAGGGCAGTAACTGTTTTAAACCATTAAAAAAATGGATTTCTTTTCCCCCAACCTATAATATTAGTTCGATTTCATTTCTGCATTCTTTTGTATTATTTTAAATATTTGTTTGTAACTATAATATGTTTACTGCTAATGAAAATTTGGTACATTTGCTAAACTCTTGACAAATTTATATATATGTATGGTCGTTTGAAAACGTCAGGTTACTATTTTTACATGGCCAAATTTTTAGCTGTAATTTCTAGCTG